ACTCTCATTAGCCCTAGACTCTAGGTTTTTGCACTTGGCCTTTAGGATCACACATTCCCTAGACAGATCTTCCTTCTCATTGTTAATTATTTCAGACTCATAAATGAAATCTAGCAATAGCTCAGACAACCTTTCTTTAGATAGGAATTTAATCTTATCTTTGAGATGAAGGATACTTACCTCTTGTTCATCAGCTGATTCTCCAATGGCCATAAGTGTTTGTTCATCTCCAGCTTCATCTTCTGAGTCCTCATCTGATGTTTCTCCCCAGGCAGCAATCATAGCCTTTGTTGATCCTTTGTTCCTTCTTGGTTGAACATGTTCCTTCGTCCAGCCCTTTCCTTCTTCCACTCAATTTCCCATTGAGGACGGTTCTTGATCATGTGATCAGTCTTACCACATTTGTAACAACCCTCATTGGTCTGTTTCTCAGGAGCCCTTGGTTTGTTGAAGGTTGTACCTCTTGAAGAACTCTTTCCTCTCATCAGGTACTTTTTGAAATCTCTTGTGACCATAGCCATTTTATCATCCTCCAGATCTGAACCTTCAGCAATTCTGAGAGTCAAACTTATTTCCTTCTTGGGTGCATCCATTTTCATGGTTTGCCTTCTCAGTTCATAGGTAGTGAGGTTTCCAATTAGTTCATCCAGATAGAGGGTAGCAATATTCTTTGATTCCTAAATCTCAGTAATTTTGCTTTCCCAAGAGACTGACAGAACCCTTGTCAAAATCTTCTCAACTTTGTCTTCTTCAAGAATAACCCTTCCAAGAGGCTTAAGTTCATTTGTCAGTGTGGTCAACCTTGTATACATCTCTTGGATGGTTTCTCCTTCCTTCATGGTGAAATTCTCATACTAAGAATACAACAGTATTCCTTTGGACCTCTTCACTTGAGGTGTTCCTTCATGGGCCACTTGCAAAGTGTCCCAGATTTCCTTAGCAGTGGTACAACTTTGAATTCTACTGTACTCGTCTGGACCCAGTCTGCACACAAGCCATTTCTTGGCCTTGGCATTCTTTTCCCATTTCTTCAAATCTTCAGCAATGCAGTCAGCTCTTGTCTTTGGCACATCCACTCCTTCAGCATTCTTCTTTGTGGTTGCTAGAGGACCATCAGTGACTATGTCCCAGATTTCATAGTCTTCTCCTATGATGTGATCCCTCATCCTATTCTTCCACCAAGAATAGTACTGACCATTAAAAAGTGGAGGCCTAGCAATGGATTACCCTTCCCAGTTCCCAGGTGGTGCACTCATTTTGATCTTTTCCTAAGGTGTTAGCCTCTTCAAGGATAACCTGCTCTGATACCAATTGATGTTTTAAGCATCAATACCACACAAGAGGGAGGGTGATTTGTGTGGTACCCAATTTCCGCTACAGAAGAACCTGGTTCTTCTAGGTGTTCTAACTACTACATTTAATAAGTACATAAAATAAAAAACATAGAGATTTTTACGTGGAAAACACCTGGCTCAAAAAGTGAGAAAACCACGACCTACTACTCAGTAGGATTTCCCAAACTTCCACTAAAATCACTGAGCCAAAACAGCATTTACAAAAACTCTTTGTAAACCTAAGGATTAACTCTAATCCCGGTGTGGCACACAGCCTCAACTATTGCGACAACTTCAAGTTAGCTATAACTTGAACGCTCTAGGTACCTAATACAATTGCTTATATGAAAGCTGAAAGGTACAACTTTAAACTACATACTACAATTGAACTAGAGTAAAAGATAGATACAATGGAACTGGTTCTTCTATCTCGTTCAAGTAGCTTCAGGAGTGCACACTCAAATCACACATAAATTGCTTGCAAAATCACATTGTCTTTTGCTCTCAATTTAGTTTCACTTCTACATATGTGCAATACTTGTAAAAGAGAACAATCACTGTCATTTAATAGGTTAGTAATCAGAGCTTGATCAGGACTCAATTGCTGAACTTCTATCATTGAAGAGTTCATTATGATCTCAAACTCTAACACTATCTTTATCCTGGATCGTGTTCTCTTCATATAAGAGACTTTCTCCCCTTATCTAATATGCAACCTTTTTGATCAGATCAGGAGATATTGTTGCTTGATCAGTAGGACTTATCTCCTTCACGTACATCTCACATGCATAGATTGATCATGATTGTGCTTCACATGATGGACCTGGTCCATGACTGAGTTTATTTGTCATTCTTCAAAACTTCACCTGTTCTTGGGCCAACAAACATCGAAGCTCGCTCCTTTTGGGGTATTTCCAGAAGTCTGAGAAGCATTTGCCGCGTCAGATGATGTAGGGCCTTCATTCCCTTTTCTTTTAAAGTTCCTTCCTCGAGGATATGGGCCCCGATCTTAGTAGGCTTGATAGCCTCGGAGGATTTCCCAGTTTGAGTCACTAGCAACAAACCTTCCATCTTGTCACCATCATCATCCATGAACTGGTGGGCCGAGTCAACGTCCACACTGATAACGATGCTTCTCTTACGCCTCCGAGCAGGCTATACTTGGCTTTGGGTGTCCTCTCTCGTCGAGGACCTCTTCCTTTTGTTGTCCTCCTTAGGCTTTGGAGCCGAAGATCCTGCTTCCTCCCCGGAAGGGGTCGGCCTCACTCAAAGAACTCACCAATACCTGCGATAGAGGAATCAGGTCACATGAAGAAAGATATTCTTAATGAGGAAAGAAACATTATGGCATGTACCATGATGTTTTGCTTCCCACTTGCCATTCGACAAGTCCCGCCATTTGCGTTTGTCATATGGTGAAGTAGCAGCTAGTTTGCGAACCCAGTCCTCGAGGTCGAGGATCGCATTAGGCATCCACGGAACCACTGTAGAAAGGGGAAAGGAGTAATTATGCAAAGTTTAGCAAAAAATATGGAAAAGAGTTAAAAGAATTCCACACACATTTGAAATTCCATTTCTCGGGGAACAACAGGAATTTCTCGGGAATAATATCGATGGTCCTCACCCGGATGAACCGGCTCATCAAACCTCGATCCTTGCCTTAGTCGTTACTGGAGAAGAAAGACTTGGTTGATCGGCGTTGGAGTTTGATTAACCTCAGAAATGTTGAGGTCGATATAATCGGATGAGATGGCTAAGGGTGAACTCGAGCCCGGCCTTTTCACTGAAGAATCTCATCATTATTACGATCCGTAAAAAAGATGGATGAATCTAGCCCAAAGTTACTTGATATCTTCGGCGGAATTCGAGCACGAACGGGTCGAGGGGACCCAACTTAAAAGGGGTATGTATACACACTCAGGAACCCCTCTACGTAAGTTGTGATGTCCTCCCCTCGAGAAGGTATTTGCAAAACAACCTCCTCTCCCCACTTGCACTCCCTCCTCACAGCATCGAGATGACTTTCCTCAATTGACCGTATGTACCTCGATGCATGCTATCGACGGCCGGCAATGTCGGGAGGGTTTTCGACTATAAAGTCTTTTCTTAAGGAAATTTTGCCTGGTACGATCTCATGAAGAGCCGAGGTTTACCACCGGCCGGACGGGAAGTAGAAGTAGAGTTCTTTTTTTTTTAGGAACATACTTGGATGTTTTCGCCATCAGTGCCTTAGGAAAATAAGGAAGAAAATGAGTGAACCCGCAAGGTGTTGAGCCGATGCAACGGAGGAACTGGGGGTGAAAAGGAAAAGTATAGAAGAGAATAGGTGTTGCAAGGTGGAAAAATCCTTAATGAGAAGAGAAATCAAGTATATATAGTGGAAGGCGGCGACAGTTCATTAGTAGTGATGGTCGACCGGCTCTGACGTGCATTTATTACTTTTGGGGAAAAGAACTGACGGGGCACTTTGGTCATTTCAACGCTTACATAAGAGTGGTGCCATCATAAATGACTTTGGGAATCCAAATCGTTTCATATCATTTCATTCTAAGAAACGCGGGGACTATCTATATACGGTCAAAATCAAGGAACCCGATTTCGAAGTCTTAAATTGGGCTATGAGTCCGAATCTGGGCGACTCGAAGCAGAGGTCAGACCCGGTTGGAGGACACACACCTCGAGGAAGCAGATCGAATGTTTGGCTCGAGGGCACTCAAGAAAGAGCGGAAATTTCTCAAGGACTCGTGGTCAGGGCATAAATTAAAGGATAAAATTTGTACGAAATGGTATAGGTCCGTACTAGGTTATTGTACACCTGTACCAGTAGAATTCTTTACTACAATTAGGAATGTACTATATTGGGGTTTTCTCCTCCTATATAAAGGGGACCCCAATCATTTTGCAAGTATCATCTCACATTATTCACTGTAATAGAATATTCTACTATGCACTTGTTTACTGTGCTCACCAAGTGTTCTTCAGCTTTATTGCTTTTACTTTACTGTTCATATTTTATTGTTCTTAGCTCACCTCGAGGCCCCCAAGAAAATTGAGCTCGAGATCCTTATTGCTCTAGCAACATTGGTTTGGTTCATCAATTCCTCTTACTTGGACCTAATATTATGTATATTCACTAGTATTAGAATAAATCACATATCTTTAAAACCACAAATCATATTTAATTGTTACTCCCATTTTTCGAGATAAACACACGTATAAATTCAACCGTATCGTTTTACGGATAAAGACTTATAACAATATAAATATAAATAAAAATATATGAAACTTGCTTACTGGAATGTGATCAATATTGGAGATACGCACAAAAGAAAAGACATGTTTTTTAAAAGAATTTACTCTAACAAACAAGTTCTGAAAACTTAAAAATTAAATTTGTAAACTCTATTTTTACAAAATTTCAAACAAACGCATATGGCGGCTGACATGGTAGCTACTTGACTTGTCATTCGAAAATACTGAATTACTCTAACACCAGAAAGAAAAAGAGTCGTGTCCAATCACCAAAAGAATTACAGCAATAGAAATTGTCCACTAACATTCATCCCATTGGACCGTCCCTTCACGCGCCCATACTCTCATCTCCTTAATAGTTAAAACCCCTAATCTCCCTCACAACTGAATTTTCTCTTTCTCTCTCTAGTCAAACCTTACTCATTCAGCTTTGACTCAAAACTGCCACCACCATCTCCGCTGGCGTACTCGCCACCACGTACCGGCAAGTCTCTATATTCACGCCCACATCTCAAAATTTACACCGTTTTTGACGGTTATAAAATTATACAGCACACGTAAAATCAGAATATATAAATTGTACCCCGCAAATTTCTTTCCCCTCCTTATCTCATCACTACCATATTTATCCTAAAATTTCTGCTACTTGTATGCATTGTACACATGTAAACTAACCCCAAGTGGGCAAAAAAATGTTTTAAGATGGAAAATACATTTTCTTATTCCAGTCTTCTACGTGAAGAAGAACACACACTGATTATATCTGAAGAAAATGGTGATGAATATATACAAATGTTGATTGATAGAGAAATTGCCAGTTTTGGACTCCTAGGTCAAAACTCTTCACATGTTACCAATTTTGACTGGATTCAACAAGCTCGCTTGGCTGCAGTTCAGTATATTCTTAAAGTTAGTCCTAACAAAAACCCCCATTTATTTTATTTTTTTTGAATTTTCTTTCGATGTTTTTTATGACAATGTGAAATAAATGTTAATTTGATGCAGACATGAGAATCATTTGGATTTAGATTCCAAACAGTTTATATAGCAGTGACATATTGTGACGGATTTCTTTCAAGAAGGTTTCTAGATGGTGAAAAACAGTGGGCAGTAAAGTTACTAGCAGTGGCATGTTTATCTTTGGCTGCAAAAATGGAGGAATGCAAAGTGCCAACATTAACAGAATATCCCAGTGAAGAATATATTTTTGAGAGCAGAGTGACTCAAAGAATGGAGCTCTTGGTACTTAATACACTGGAATGGAGAATGGGGTGTATCACTCCTTTTTATTTCATTAATTATTTTGTATCAAGATTTTGCAAAAATGATTCAAGGAAATGTGTGATTTCCAGTACTGTGGAAATCATCTTTGGTGCTCTCAGAGGTAATTTTGATTTCTCATTCAAAGTCTAGTTTTCTGATTTAGTCAATAGTGATTTTTTGTTTTTTGTTTTTTGTTTTACCATTTAATTAAGCAGATATAAAGTTAATGAGTGTGAGACCATCTGTACTAGCAGCAGCGGCTACATTACTGGTACTAAATAAAAGTTTGACCATGGAAGCTTTAGAGGTTGAAATAAATGTCTTACATTTGAATGGTATTCTTCAAATTGTGAGTCTCTGACCCTTTACTTTTTATTAGAATATCCCATTATTATATTGTTCAAATAACCTTTTCTTTTGTAACTGCTACTCCAGGATGATGTGTTTTCTTGCTATAATCAAATGTTATACCTTAACAAGGAAATATGTAAGTCACACAAGTGCTTAGTATCTCCTCAATTGTCACCAAATCAACTGCTGAGGAATTGGTAAATTAGAAAAATCTTCAGTTCCATCCAAAAGAAAGAGACTCACTTTCCTGGAGATTGACCAAATTGATGATAAACCCCAGCAGAAGCGTCAATGCACAAGTAATGTTGGCAAATAAAGCACAAGTTCAACTCCAATCAGTTGGGTTATTAGGGTCTCAACCGTTAAAGAAACATTAGTAGGAATTGTTGGTTTTAGTGTTTGTTGAATTTATTGTTTATTAATTTATTTTTGTTGTTTATTCATCTCTCAAGCTTACTAGGATAGTCTGTCTATCTTCAAATCAGAACGGGGTAATGTGTAGTTACAGCTCCCTCAGATTTTTTTTCCTTTCACTTGGGATGCTTTTATAATATAACAAGTGTCTTTTGAAGAAAGTGGAAAGCAATTTGGGGCTATGAGAGGATGAAAGTTTAGAACTGTTTGTGTGATTTGATGCATCTATGTCTCTTGTTGGCCAATAGCCATCAACAAGAAAAAGAAAAAGGTTTGTAGAATGCGATTGGATTTGTTTTGAATTTTTGGGACATTTAGCCTTTTTGAGGGTAGGGTCCTTGTGCTCTTTTTTCTCCATATGAAGCTTCGCCTAATGGGAAATCTTGAAAAGAGAAACTTAGGGCCCATTTGGCTATAAGAAATTATTCACTTTTTTTGAATTTTTTTTCTTTAATCAGAATCAGTGCTTATCCATGAAAACTTCAAATTTCACTTGAAGTTAAATTTCAGATTTTTTTTCGGAAATTTAAAAACTTCAAAAAGTTATTTTTCAAATTTTTTTCACTTCAAATCACTCACAAAAATTTAAAAATTACTCCAAATAGTATTCATGTTCAAACACAACTCTAATTTTAAAATACCATTTTTAATTTAAATTTTTTTTACTTTTTTTGGAATTTTAGAATTCTTAAGTCATTTTGTAGTGTAGTGAAAAGCAAAAGAATTTGTACTTTAATTTAACTTTATAGTAAGACATCTTTGTGTACTTCATTTTCCTTTTCTGAAGTGGACTGTTCTTTCCTTGATATATATTATGTGAAGGGGGGTACTACAAGATAGATGTCTATGTCTTTGTATGTTAGAGTTGCTTCCTTTTCACTCAAATTTACTGGACTATATGTATTTTCTTTTTCCCCATATGAAGCTATGCCTAATGGGAAATCTTGAAAAGTTTTGAAACTAAGTCATTTTGTAGAGTAGTGAAAAGGAAAGAATTTGTACTTTGGATTAAATTTGATAGTAACACATCTTTGTGTACTTCATTTTCCTTTTCTGAAGAGGACTGTTCGTTCCTTGATATATATATATATAATGTGTAGGGTTGATAAAACCAGTTGAATTCACTCGACAATGTAACATGCAATTGATTCAGAGTGAGGAATTTACCAAGAGAAATGAGAGGAAACGAGGTGAAGAAGATGATTGTCTGCAATTCTCACTAGAGTAGCTGAAATAAACGTGAATGGGAATTTATAAGTCCCACTTCTAACCGCCTTTAATTGACTAACTTTTTAAGGACAAAACTTTCTAACTTTGACACATAGGTCCCTCAATTTACTCTGTGTGTAAACTAGCCTATATTACAATATTCCCCTTCAAGCTGGTGGGTGAAGCACATTGAGCACACCAAGATTGGACAAAAGAAAATGATGATGTGCTGATCCCAGACCCTTGGTCATAAGGTCTGCCAATTGTAGATTGATAGAAATGTATTGTTGTGCCAATTGTCCAGTCTTGATTTTTTCTCGAACAAAATAACAATCTATCTCAATATGCTTAGTTCTTTCATGAAAGATGGGACTGGCTGCTATCTGTAGAGCAGCCTTACTGTCGCAATGCAAAGGAACTAGTTTTTGCACATGGACTTAAAGCTTTTTCCGCAGTCCTAAAAACCATGTAATTCTGCAGCCGCTGCTGCTAGACTCCTGTATTCAGCTTCTACTGAACTTTGACTCATAGTTTTTTGCTTCTTGGACTTCCAGGAAAGCAAGGAATCACTCAATTTAATGATGTAGCCTGTGAGTGATCTCCTAGTGTTTGGACAAGATGCCTAGTCATAATCACAATAAGCAGATAGACCGTTAAGAGGGCATGTGCTTAGTAAAATCCAAGGCCTGGGGCTGATTTCACATAGCTGACCACACGCAATGCTGCATCCTAATGAGATTGTTTGGGATGTTGCATAAACTGGCTGAGCACTTGAACTGCAAAGCTAAGATCTGGTCTAGTAATGGTTAGTTAGACTAACTTCCCAGTGAGTCTTTGGTAGCTTCCAATATCTTCTAGTTCCTCATCTCCCTTGACTCTTACATGCTTATCATAGACGATGGTAGTCAATTCCTGATTCAATTCAATGGGAGTGAACATTGGCTTGGCTGCTGCAAGTCCAACCTCTGAGATCAAATGCATACTTTCTCTGAGTGAGCAGAATCCCTTACATTGATCTCAGAACCTCTATGCCAAGGAAATATTGAAGTTCTCATAGATCCTTTACCTTAAAGGAATTGTGTAAGGTCTGTTTAACCTCTTCTATTAGTTCTACATTGTTGTCAGTTATAAGTAAATCATCCACATATACCAGGATGATAACAATGTGAGGTCTTGTCTTCTTAGGGAATAGAGAGTGATCATGAGCACTTTGAGAGTATCTTCCTTCCAGTAAAGTTTCAGTCAGCTTAATGTTCCACTACCTTGAGGCATGTTTAAGGCCATACGGAGATTTGAGCAGCTTGTATTTGCGGTCCTCCTGTTTCTGGAAAACTTGAGGTAAGTCCATATAAAATTCTCCATAGAGGTCTCCTTGCAAAAATGCATTGTTCACATCCATTTGAAATAAAGTCCAACCTCTTGATGCTGCAATGCTGGTTATTGTCCTCACAGTGACTATTTTTCCCACTAGGAGAAGATTATGCCTTCTTGTTGAGTATAACCCTTGGCCACTAATCTAGCTTTGTATCTCTCTATTTCTCATTTGCTTTGTATTTTATCTTAAACATCCATTTAGATCTTATTGTTCTCTTACTAACATGCAAGTCAACTATCTCCCAAGTAGTATTGTCCTCAAAGGTCTTAATTTCTTGTGACATTGCTTTTATCCAGTTCTTGTCCTTGCATGCTTCCTTGAAGGATTTAAGTTCAACTTCTGCTGCAAACACTCCCAAATAAGCTTGGTAGTTATTGGATAAATGAGTGTAGGCAATAAAGTTTGAGATGCAGTGTGGCTTGTTCTGTGAGCTGGATGTGGTAAAGTAATCTTCCAACCAAATGGAGGGTCTTGAATCTATGCTGGACTTTCTGGTATACAAGTTATCTTCAAGTGTCTCTTCTACAGATGGTTAGCTTGTGTCTGTTTGTGCCTCAACTGATGTGCACACTGTTGAACTGTGTCTGCATCATCAGACTCAGCTATTGGAGTCATAGCTTGTTCAGAATCAGCTACTACTAGAATGACTTCTAAGTCTGATGTTGCCATTTATTCAGTTGGAATCTGCTCTTTAGTGTTTGGATGATAAACTAGTTGTTCAGGCAGGAGCTCATCTGGGAAAATTGATGGTGTATCACTTGGGAAGAGATCTTCTGCAACCTGCATCCCTTCCTTGAAAGGGAAGATATTCTCTCTGAATGTTACATCTCCGCTAACAAATACTTTTCTGCTTTTCAGATCATATAACCTATAGCCCTTTGTGTTTTTGAGTAGCCAATGAGAACAGATTTCCTTGACCTTGGTGCAAATTTATCTCCTCCAGGTAAATTTCTTGCAAAACAAAGAAACAATGAGTTGGATAGATTACCAAATATAGTACGTTCTCTCTCTATCCCAATTTATGTGGCACCATTCGAATTTTGAGACTCAAATAAATTATGCTTTGATTGTAGTTTTTTCATGTCTTTTAAATATTTTAAATTGTTAATTATTGTGACTTATAGTACTTTTATATAGTTTTTAAATATAAAAAGTTTATTTTTAAAAAATAAAAAAAAATTGTGTCAAGATTAATGGCCAATTATGCGGCCCATTTGCGGATCACAGTGCGACTGAAAATCTGTATCGGGGCTCCGTCGCCAGCATTATCATAACTATCTTTTGTATCTTTAGAGGCTCTGTGGATATTACGTGGATTGTGTATGAGTGCTAGAAAGGCCAGGCAGATTATGTTGTGTTTTGGACTCTTGATCCATTAAATCGTAAATTGTATATATTTTGGGAACTTAATAATGATGTAGCAAAATGAAATGAAATGAATTAGTAATGTTTATATATATGATCCTTCTAATGTTTAACTAATGGAAACGTGCCTTCTCTAGATCATAAGCGAGTTGGGTAGAAAGTGTTTATCAGGCTTGCTCGACCGGGTTCATTCGATTGAGCGCCGGTCGCGCTTTCCGAGGTTGGGGCGTGACATAAGTCCCACTTTTAACTGCCTCTAACTGACTAACTTTTTAAGGACAAAACTTTCTATCCTTGACACATAGGTCCCTCAATTTACTATGTGTGTAAACTAGCCTATATTACAATAAGGGGGTACTACCAGATAGATATCTATGTCTTTGTATGTTAGGGTTGCTTCCTTTTCACTAAAATTTAGTGGATTATTCGTATGAAATTTTGGTTAAACATATTTTATTTTACCCACAGCCCAAATCAATTTGATAAGTTTAATGATCCTTTTTTATAATTTAAAACTTTTATAATGCAAAGTCAAAATATAAAAAAGAATCAAAACTGTCTGTTAAAAAATTGAATAAAAGCTCTTTAGCTAAAAGTAAAAGAGAACCTTTTTAGGAAGAGGATTGGAATCTATACATTGATCTATATCTTTTTTGAATTGTACGCACCAGACAAATTTAATCCCGAGTTTTATAGTGGAATAATCCCCTAATTTCCAGCAACCAAACAGTCTCATGAGTATTACTTGGGTTATGTTTAATTGCCCTGCATTAAAATAGTGCAGGCGATGTCTATCTCATCAACTGAAACGTGTCTTATATATTAACTCCACAAAGTGAAATTTAAAAGGAGGATGAGTCATCCTGATAAAGCTTGGATTCGAAGAAAATCTATAGGAAATTATCTAGGGTTAAAGATATAACGCAGAGAGAGAAAAGAAGCTTCTAGCTTCTGTATTTTGGGAAAGACCGAACTCGAATGAACTGAAAGAATTGTTCAATTACAATCCTAAGCATGTTACGATGTATAAGGAGAATGTCACTTAAACATTACATTGGGCCTCTCTATTTTCTTTCCTTTTACTTCTTTTGTACTGGGCAAAGAAGCCTACTCTTGTATTTATGCACTTGTCCTGTTAGCTTTGGCCCATATAACTTAGGATTGTAATTGAACAATTCATTCAGTTCATTCGAGTTCGGTCTTTCCCAAAATACAGAAGCTAGAAGCTTCTTTTCTAGCTCTCTCTGCGTTATACCTTTAACCCTAGATAATTTCCTAGAGATTTGTTTCGAATCCAAGCTTTATCATG